CAAGAGGATTTAGCACTTCTCAGATCAACAAAAGATCATAAGAAACCTGAGAAGTTCAAGGACTATCATCTGGATATTGATGACTGTAATATTTGCGAGTGCTTCTTTGCGAGGCCGATTGATGAATGTGAGCCAACGTTCTTCGAAGAAGCACATGGTAGTCTAGAATGGGAAGTCGCTATGGGAGAAGAGATGGTTGCTCTATTGAAAAATGAAACTTGGGATTTAGTTCCTAAACCTCGTGATGTTCAACCCATTTCTTGTAAGTGGGTGTATAAACTAAAGCAGAAGGCGGATGGTAGTATTGACAGATATAAATCCAGGCACGTGGCTCATGGATTTTCACAAAATACAGCTTGGACTATAAAGAAACTTTTAGTCCAGTTGCCAAAATGACATGTGTGCGTGTAATTATATCTTTAGTTGCTGTTAAAGGATGGAAGCTTTGGCAACTAGATGTTAAGAATGCATTTATGTATGGAGATATTGATAAAGAGATTTACATGGCACAACCTCTTGGTTTCCAATTATCAAGATTTCTAGATTATGTGTGTTTGTTGAAGAAAGCTCTTTATGGGCTTAAGTAGGCACTGCGAGTGTGGTATGGAAAGATTGCTCAATATTTAAGTTTTTGTGGTTTTGTCGCTTCAAGTGTTGATGCTAGTTTTTTTTTGTTAAAAAGAATTCATCTGTGCATGTTCTAGTCTTGTTATATGTTGATGATATGATAGTGACGAGAAATGATGAACAAGAAGTTACAAGACTTAGGAGGGAGCTTGCTATTCGATTTGAGATGAAGAATCTTGGGGAGCTTCACATCTTTCTTGGATTGGAGGTATCAAGGAATGAAAAATTTATTTTTCTTTCTCAAATGAACTATGCTAAGAAAATTTTGGAGAAATTTAGCATGATAGATTGTAGACTAGTGGTTACTCCAATGGAGCAGAACTTGAAATTAATGGTTGATGAAGGGAAATAGTTGAAAGATGGGCAACACTAATGGATGCTGGTTGGAAGTTTGTTGTATTTGACTATTACCAGACTCGACATTTCTTTTTTAGTTGGGAAAATTAGTCAGTTCATGAAACAAACACACAAATCCCATCAAAAGGCTGCTAATAGGATACTTAGGTATCTCAGTGGCACAATCAATTTTAGTCTGGTGTATAAGAGAGATGTTAATCTTTGTTTCAAAGGTTACACATACACTGATTGGGCCGAAGATTCTGTAACAAGGAGATCTACTTCCGGGTTTGTGTTTAGTTTTGGATTTGCAGCTATTTCGTGGTGTAGCAAGAAACAAGCAATGGTTGCATTGTCAAGCACAAAGGCAGAGAATAACATAGATACACTTGCAGCTCAGGAATGTGTTTGGTTAAAGAGGCTTATTGGAGAAATTCTTCATCCAATTAACAAGCCAATACAACTATTGTGTGATAACATGAGTTCTATTTGAATGGCTTCAAATCCAGTATTCCATGCTAGAACCAAGCATATTGGAGTCCACTATCATTTTATTCGAGAGAAGGTACTTGAAGATGAGATTGATCTAATCAAGGTGGATACAAATGATTAGCTGACAAATATTTTCACCAAGGCATTACCAAAAGAAAATTTTCAAAAGTTCCGAGAGTTTTTGGGCTTGGTTTCTCGTGTTAGCACAAAGGGGGAGTGTTGAAAGTTGTGCTAACTTTATTAGTTTAATTTAGTATTTTCACACATGGTTCATGTACTTGGTTTGGTACATGAATGTAGTTCAAGAGTTTTTTGTTAAGTTCAAGAGTCATTAGTAATATTCATGTTTGGAGTCTAAGGGTCATTCATGAATTTGCTTGTCTAGGTACATGATAAGAGTGTCCTATAAAATTCTAGAAGTATTTTGAGTCATTGTGTGTGTATCCTTGTAGAGAGTGAAAGGAGAAGTACTATGAAATAAAAGTTCCTATGTTTTTTCTCCTATATGAGTGTTGGTTCTAATTGTTCTTCTTGTTCTAAGCTTCAATTCTTCAATGGTCTTGGGCGTGCAGTCTAGGGTTCTAGCTGCATTATTGGAGAGTGTGATTTTTTCAAGTTGGTATCAGAGCTATGTTAAGGGCTTGGTGCAAGTACTGTGAAGGTAGGACATGAGAAGTATATTTTTGTTGATTAGTTCATTGCCTTGATGGACGTCAATAGTGGTTCTTTAAAACAATTTGGTGTGGAGAAACTGAATAACTCCAATTACCAGTATTGGAAGCTCTGTATGAAGGCTTATCTTCAAGGGCAAGATTTGTGGGATATAGTGAACGGAGGTGACTCTGAAATGCCTACAGATACACCGAAGAATGTTGAAGCTCGAAGGAAATGGAAGATAAAATGTGAAAAGGCGTTGTTTGCTTTATGTGGTTCCATTTCTCAAGAGTTAATTGAACATATTCGAGCCAAGGAGAAGCCAAATGAGACTACTGCACAGACTTCCCCTGAGACCGGAGCTCTGCATAATTGTCCTGCTTCCAACAGTTGCTTGATGTCTATGTTGTAGGACGTGAATTTGACTAAGGAGCATTTTTAGAGGTTTGTGACATCCTTGGACATGAGAGAGGTTGGGTCTCGGGGTCTTGAGAGTATTATTGATACTGCGATGGAGGGCTTTGCTATGATACCTTTCTTTTTGTGCAACCTTGTCTTCTGTATGTTTTGGTCATACTGACATTCTTGTTTTTGGATATTTATAGATGACTGCGGCTTTTCCTTGCCTGCTTTTGGATATTCATAGATGGCTACGACTTTTCCTTCCCTTTTTTTTAAGGACACTCAAACTCGATGAGATGCTGAGAACTTTGGCAAAAGAGAGATGGGCGTACCAGGCTGCTGAGGAGCAGTTGAGGTTGGCTCATGAGAGAGCAGNTTTAAGGACACTCAAACTCGATGAGATGCTGAGAACTTTGGCAAAAGAGAGATGGGCATACCAGGCTGCTGAGGAGCAGTTGAGGTTGGCTCATGAGAGAGCAACACCTCTTGATGCTGAGCTTCTAGGAGACTAAGGTTGCTCGCGTGAGAGCAAAGATAAAGTTAGGTCGAGCTTCTGGCGACTTATGAGAAAACCGCTAAGTTGGAGACTAAGACTACTTGCATGAAAGTAGAGGCAAAAAGAGGTTGAGCTTTTAGTGACTCGTGATAGAGTTGCTAAGCTGGAGATGGAAGATTGCTTGCATGAGAGTAGAGGCAGAAAGAGGCCGAGCTTTTAAAGACTCGTGCGAGAGCTGCTAAGTTGAAGACTGAGGCTGTTTGCATTAGAGCAGAGAAAGAAAGAGACTGAGTTTGTGAATCGTGAGAAAGCCACTAAGATGGAGACTAAGGCTGCTTGCGTGAGAGTAGAGACAAAAAGAGGTTGAGCTTTTGGCTACTCATGAGAGAGTTGCTAAGCTGGAGACTGAGGTTGCTTGAATGAAAACAGAGACAGAGTTAGGCCGAANGAAAACCGCTAAGTTGGAGACTAAGACTACTTGCATGAAAGTAGAGGCAAAAAGAGGATGAGCTTTTAGTGACTCGTGATAGAGTTGCTAAGCTGGAGATGGAAGTTTGCTTGCATGAGAGTAGAGGCAGAAAGAGGCCGAGCTTTTGAAGACTCGTGCGAGAGCTGCTAAGTTGAAGACTGAGGCTGTTTGCATGAGAACAGAGAAAGAAAGAGACTGAGTTTTTGGTGAATCGTGAGAAAGCCACTAAGATGGAGACTAAGGTTGCTTGCGTGAGAGTAGAGACAAAAAGAGGCTGAGCTTTTGGCTACTCATGAGAGAGTTGCTAAGCTGGAGACTGAGGTTGCTTGAATGAAAATAGAGACAGAGTTAGGCCGAGNTTTGGCTACTCATGAGAGAGTTGCTAAGCTGGAGACTGAGGTTGCTTGAATGAAAACAGAGACAGAGTTAGGCCGAACTTCTAGCGACTCATGAGAAAGCTACTAAGCTGAAGACTGAGGCTGCTTGCATGAGAGCAGAGGTAGAAAAAGGCTGAGTTTTTGGCGACTCGTGAGAGAGCCGTTAAGTTAGAGATTGAGGTTGCTTATGCGAGAGCAAAGACAGAGTGGGCAGTCTGGGCGTAGGAGGTGGCGCCAAGCTGTTGCTTTCTTTATTACGTATCATATGTGCCTAGTCTTGGCATCACTTCCCTTCCCAAAAAGGAATCTATTGATTCTCTCCTAATTGGTTGAATCGTAGGTGCGATGATTTACTTCACAGGCGAGGTATCTGGTTCAAATTTAGAATGGCCCGGCTACGTAGGAAAAAGAATAGAATAAGTATCTCACTCCTTAATGCATGCTCCACTTGGCTCGCTTAATGCAAACAACATAGGTAATTAAGTAGCAATCAAGAGTTGAAGGTTTGATTCCACTTAGGATACCAAAGGGAGATATTTCAATCACTCTATTAGATCCAAGGCATGTCTTCATCATGCTCTTTGAACAAAGAAGATATGCTCCAAAAAAGAGAAGCNCCTTAATGCATGCTCCACTTGGCTCGCTTAATGCAAACAACATAGGTAATTAAGTAGAAATCAAGAGTTGAAGGTTTGATTCCACCTAGGATACCAAAGGGAGATATTTCAATCACTCTATTAGATCCAAGGCATATCTTCATCATGCTCTTTGAACAAAGAAGATATGCTCCAAAAAAGAGAAGTTTTTGATTGAGGGATTGATGTTTAGGGTTTTCTGCTAGAGCCATGATTTTCGTCTCCACAATAGTGATCCAATACACGCGCCTTCTGATCTACTTTAGGACTGTCAAAGATCAGCATATTTCGTCCTGGCAAGGTTTTGAAATATTTGGTTCGAAGGACCAGCATATCCTGGATCAAGTAAAGACTCTANCCATGATTTTCGTCTCCACAATAGTGATCCAATACACGCGCCTTCTGATCTACTTTAGGACTGTCAAAGATCAGCATATTCCATCCTGGCAAGGTTTTGAAATATTTGGTTCGAAGGACCAGCATATCCTGGATCAAGTAAAGACTCTGGGTTTTCAACAAGCTGCTGCTACATCCATTTCATTAGGAATGGATTGGACTTGGAATTTTTGTCTAAGGAAGTTCTTTGTAGCTCTACATATGTCTCCAAACTCCTTAGCAACAGTGGCATCCTCTCTACATAGGTTGGGGTCGGTTAGGCTAGCTTGGACTTGTTCCTGATGAGGTAAACTAGGTGACGCCCGCGAGGTAGGAGGCCCAGACGATGTAGGTTGGGCGACGCCTGCGGCGCAGANTTCCTGATGAGGTAAACTAGGTGACGCCCGCGAGGTAGGAGGCCCAGACGATGTAGGCTGGGCAACGCCTGCGGCGCAGGAGGCAAGCTGGGTGATGCCCGCATGGGGGAGCAGGCTGGGCTGGGCTGCGCCCGACACTTGGTGCTGGCTGGAGTAATAAAAATGGTGAAAAAATGACAAGACTTTGAACGACCATAACTTTGCACTCGGTTGTTCGTTTGAGTCAAATTTTTTTTGAATCTGTGTATTTTTTTGAGATCTACCAGTTTCAAATGGCCGAAGGTGGCTTGGGCACCGAATTTCTCTAAAAATACTTATTTTTCACTGAATTTGAACTTTAACCATAAATTAGTGAAGAAGTAGAATTTTCTTGTGTCTACTTTTCATATTCCCTTCTTCATGAGGACTCAGCTCATCTTGCATGGTCTCCAATAATTGTTGGGATTCAAGGACGAGGTTCGCTAGTGGTGGCGGGCCATCTTCCGCTTGATGGTTCTTGGATCTGGTTGTGATTGCTATTGAGGGTAGGAGGAAGACTGTAGGGTGAGAATCAAATTGGTTCCTATAGACGTCGTTAAACTGATGATGCAAAAAAATAGATTTATGCACTATCAAATTAGTCAAAAGTATTGTGTAAAACAATTAATAAAACAGTTAACAATAAGACATAAAGATTGGATGGTTGGGTTTAGGGCCCTACCCACTGAAGGCGGTAATGATGGCTAGAGAACTCTATTAATGAGAGAGAGAAAGAGAGAGAGAGCGCGCGCAAGAGTATGCTCAAGGTAAGGTGTGTGAAAGCTGCCCCTATGTGTAGGGGGTTTACAATTTATAGGCATAGAGATTTAGATATGGTTGTGACGTGAAGGTCAAGCTACTAATTTATCAGAAAAGATAACTACAATTATGGATGAGCATTATCTTGGAGTAATAACTATCCTCATAGTTGCTCTCCCACGTACGTTGACTATTCTTGGACTCTTGGGCTTTGGATTGAACTGAGGCCATAAGCTAAGCCTGACCTACCTTTAGATAACTTGGGCTTAACCCATGAACTGTGCCCAGGTATAGTTAGATCCGGGCTCGTCAAATGTTACTCAATTATGATATGTTAAAGGCCTTTGACAAAGTGGAATGACCTTTTTTATTGCATACTGTCACTCCTAGGTTTCCTCACGAGCTTCATTAACATGATTGAACAATGTATATCTACCCCATCTTTCTCAATACCCAATAATGGTGGCCATCTAGGTAAATTTCAGTCACAAAGAGGCTTAAGGCAATGAGACTCCCTCTTCCTTTTTTTTTTGTTTATTGTATGCTCTGAGGTTCTTACCAGATTACTGCATCGACAAGTCCTTTAGAATAATCACAAAGGAATCAAAATCTCAAGGAACCACAATCCTATCACTCATCTAATGTTTGCGGATGATCTACTCTTATTTGGAAGGGCTAACGCCCAAAAGGCAACAACTATCTCAGAATGCATAGAGACATATGAACAATGGTCAGGCCAAGTAATAAACAAAGAGAAATCAAGAATCTGTTGCAACTCAAATATCCAAAAAGCAACATGTGCAGGGATAAGGAACATCTTGTGATTGAAGAAAGGTAGTGTTGATGCAACATATCTGGGACTACCCTTCATTGTTGGAAGGTCTAAATGCAAAGCTTTCCAGCCTATCCTAGAGAAACTGGAAGCTAAACTTTAGGGGTGGAAGACTAAATTGTTGTCATATGCTCTTCAAGTTGTTGTCATATGCTGGAAGAGCTACTTTAATAAGATCCACTGCACTAGCAATGCCAGTCTATGCAATGCAAACATTCCTACTGTCAGAAACTTTGAGTGCTAAAATAGATAGCAAAATTAGAAACTTCTGGTGGGGAAGCACAGAGGAGCATCAAAAGATGGCAACAAAATCTTGGAATTACATCTGCAGGCTGAAGCTGAAGGGTGGTCTTGGATTTAGGAAGACACATGACATTAATAGATCTCTTATGGCTAAATTAGGGTGACAGCTAATTGTTCAAACACAAAAACCAAGTGTGTGTCAATTAAACGCAAAATATTATTCCAGAAACTCTTTCTTCTACACTAAGAGGCAACCCCAAGACTTTGCAGTATGGAAACAAATTCTTGAGTGCAAACCCATCATAGAAGTTGCAGCATATGGTGGGTGATGGAAGATCAATAAATATTTGGACTCGACCTTTGGTTCCAAACATTCCATCTTTCAAAGTGTAACCTAAAGGAAAAGATATGGACAATCTCTCAATGATGGTTTCAAAATTGATCAATCAAGATCAACAATCATGGAACATAGTGTTACTCTCCTCCATTTTTCACATTGACATAGTTAACGCAATCCTTCATAAACATATTCCTCATTTCCCAAGGATAGATCAAATTTTTTGGATTTCAAATATTCATGGTAATTTTTTCTCCAAATTAGTATATGAAACCTTCAGAGCAAACAGTGACGTAGAATGCTATCTTGATCAAGGTGACTGGGGCACTATATGGAGATCAACAATTCATGAAAGGCACAAGAATCTTGTTTGGAGGATTATTACTGAAAGTCTTCCAACAAAGCAGCTTATGGCTACAAGAATGCATATGGAAGACACTCTCTGTCCCCTATGTCTTGAAACAGAGAATCATCTTTTTTTTTTTCCTATACCCACTAGCTTGCATGATATGGTTAAAAAATGGGGATTAAATACAAATTTATTCCCTCAACTCAGCATTCAAGATTGGATTCATTTGACGCTAAATATGACAACTTTGTTTGGTCCAAATTCACCAGTTGGAGTAAGCTTGCTGTTATACATTGCCATCCTGTCAAACACTTGCTCTTATACACTACCATCCTGTTAAACACAATTTGAAAATGGAGGAATAAAGTCCTATTTAGTGGGGGAAAAATCGCACCCTAGTACATTATGCAATAAATAAACAGATAATTTAAGGAATTTCAAGCAGTTTAGATCCAATCCAAGCAACCAGGGCCACGATTGGGAAATCCAGTCACCTCTAATCAAAGCCAATGGTCCCCACCATCTGAAGGAGGAATTAAGATTAATACATATGCAGCTATTGGAAACAATGGGGCATGTATTGTAATCATGACTAGGAATCATCAAAGACAAGTGCTGGGAGCAAAAACTCAATTAACTTGTACTGTGGATACTCTAGAAGCAGAGGTTTTGGCAGCAAGAGAGGTAACTGATGGGTCAAGCCCAAAATGACCCAATCTATGTGCAAAGTCCAAATCTCAATTAAGAAGCCCTACCTCATTTAAAGATCCAGCAAGCCCAACATAACCCAAGACCAAGTTAGACTCTTTGCTTAGCCACGTCATCAAGGGGAGAGCATGTGAAGCCTTATCTGCACCACCGAAAGAAACGGTCCACCCTCACCATATCTTTGACCGCGTCTCATGGAGAGCTCCTCAACCACCTCGCTCGTTGAGAAGAGATCGGAGCTCCACCGAAATAGTTGCTTAGTCGCTGGAAAGTAGCCCCAACTTGTTAGAGAGCCATTATAAATTGCACACTCCATCAACACTTAGGAGGAGACTGATTGCCTGACATCACACCTTCCCTGACTCTCTCTTCTCCCTCGAAGCTTGTATTCTCTGTCTCCACACCCTTAAATTAATAAAGTACCCGACGACGAAAGCCATTCAAGAGTGGACGTAGGTCGAGTTGACCGAACCATTATAAATCTTGTCTCCTCCAATTCTCTCTTTACTTTTATTGCATTTATTATTTACATTTGACAGGAGGTGTACAAAATTATTTTTGTGCATCATCAGTTTGGCGCTGTCTGTGGAAAACGATAAAATTCTCACTCCTGAACATTACATCCACTGAACCAATGGCGATCACTACCCGATCCATGAACCAACCTGAAGACAATCCTCCACGATAGGAGGAGGTTACTCCTCCACCTACCAACTCTGTCCCGAATGCTCCAGCTCTGAATCCCCAACAAATTTTGGAGACCATGCAGTAGCTAGTGGCCCAAAACCAACAGTTATTGCAACTCATGCTTGCTGGACAAGGAAGAGCACAACTTGGAGGTGCACAACATGGAGGACCCCAAGGAGGAGCACAACTCGGAGGTGCACAACATGGAGGACCCCAAGGAGGAGCATAACTTGGAGGTGCACAACATGGAGGACCCCAAAGAGGAGCACAACTCGGAGGTGCACAACATGGAGGACCCCAAGGAGGAGCACAACTTAGAGGTGCACAACATGGAGGACCCCAAAGAACTCCACGCCCTGGACACCAAGGAGCACCACGCCTAGGCGCTCCCTTGGGCGCCCCACTTGGGGGAGCCCAACATGAGAGAGTTCCACCTCCCCCTCCTTTTACTTACCATGGAGAGGACCCTTATCTCCAAGAGGATGAGGGTGAAAACCAAAGCATCGAGTATGGAAGCCATTTCCATGATCATTCCAGATGAGCCCCCAATCATTGGGACGAGAAAATCAAGGAAGTACAATATCAACTGAGTGATGTCTTCAACGGCATGAAGGCACAGGGACCCGAAATTGTAGACCACCTGGTAAGGCGTATGGATACGCCTTTCAAGCCTGATGTAGCAAACTACCCCTTCCCTCAGAAGTTCAAAATGCCATCTGTGGAGACCTTTGATGGAACAAAGGATCCACTAGACCACCTCGACACTTGCAAGACTTTGATGCAGCTACACAACGTACCAGACGAAATCATGTGCAGGGCATTTTCAACCACGTTAAAAGGGTCTGCCTGACAGTGGTTTGCTATGCTCTCCCCCGCCTCCTTCCCTGAGTTTAGCAGATCATTCATTTCACATTTCATTGGAGGGCATTGCCATCAGAAGCCTGTTACGCACCTAGTTAGTATAAAACAGGACCGCGAGGAGAGCTTGAGGAGTTATCTCACACGTTTTAATGAGGAGGTACTCCAAGTTGATGAGCCTGACGACAAGGTGACGACGACCGCCTTCTTGGGTGGCCTCCGTTCATCAAGCTTCCTTTTCTCAGTGATGAAGCGCCCACCGAAAAGCAAGCCAGAGCTGTAAGCCAAGGCCCAAAAATACATGAATGCGGAAGACATCAAAAGGGCCAGGCGAGGTGAGTCCTCCAGAACGAGGGAGAAGAGGAAGGAAAGGGAGATGGACGATAAGAAAGAGACTAGCAACAAGCGTGGCAGAATAGAGAGAGTCCCTGTCAAGGACCGGCTAGGTCCTGCTTCTCAGAGGGACCGTCAACCCTTCACTCCTCTCAATGCTGCCGTGGGACACATCCTATTCCAGATTCAGGATAACCCCGCGATAAAGTGACCTGGGAAAATGAAGTCTTCTCCAAATCGCAGAAATCCTAACAAGTATTGCCGCTTCCATCGCCACCACGGGCATGACACCGATAACTGCTACGACCTCAAAAGGCAAATTGAGGAGCTCATCCAGCGTGGTCACTTACGCCAGTATGTTACTGGAAGGGAACGAGCACCACAACCTCACAATCAAGAAGATCAGCAGCCCGTAGGGGAGATACACACCATCTCAGGAGGACTAGCAGGAGGGGGAGATTCATTTTCTACAATAAAGGCCCACGCTAGAAAGGCAAGGCATGTCGACGAGATGCGCCCATCTAAGGTGCCGAAGCAAGACAGCGACGAAGTCATATCTTTCTCAGATAAGGACCTGGAGGGAATCCAGCACCCCTATGATGACCCCTTGGTGCTCACCATGACAGTGGCCAATTTTAATGTGCGCAGGATCTTGGTGGATAGTGGCAGCTCTGTGGATATCTTGTTCGTAGAGGCTTATGACAAGCTCAACCTGGGCAGGGAGAGGTTGCAGCCTATCAGGTCACCTCTCATTGGATTCTCAGGGGAGAAGGTGTATCCCTTTAGGTCCATCACACTTCCTGTCACCGCCGGAGTAGCACCCCGAAGCTCCATAGTTATGGTCAATTTCGTGGTAATAGAGTGTCCGTCAGCCTACAACATCATATTAGGGCGGCCAGCTCTTAACACATTGAGAGCTGTGCCCTCCACTTATCATCTCGTTCTCCATTTTTCAACTTCAAATGGAGTCGGAGAGGTCAGAAGAGACCAGGTAGCAGCCAGAGAGTGCTATGTCTCCTCTATGAAGGCTAGGAAGCCCCAAGAAGCGTTGCAAGTTGAGGTTCTTGACCCAAGGGATGACTCCACTACAGAAAGAGGAGAACTAGTCAAATTGCTCACCCCTGTGGTCTTGGATGAGGAACATCCAGACAGAAGAATTTACATTGGCTCTTCCCTTTCTGAAGATCTGGCTAGCCTGCTAATAGATTTTTTGAAGCCCAACATGGACGTCTTTGCGTGGTCGCATGAGGACCTTGAGGGCATCGACCCAGAAGTGGCCACACACCATCTCAATGTTAATCCACGTTACAAGCCTGTTCGTCAAAAGTTAAGGGGAGCCTCCATTGAAAGGGCCCAAGCTATGGACAAAGAGGTTAGAAAGCTAATAAATAACGGGGTAGTCAAAGAAGTAGCATATCCTGAGTGGCTCTCAAACGTGGTAATGGTCACTAAAGCTAATGAAAAATGGCGCCTCTGCGTCGACTTCACAGAACTCAACAAGGCATGCCCAAAAGATAGTTACCC